GACCAAATATCACTGCAGCAATGAGAAGATAAATCAGTGACACTACCTTCAGTACCGTGTTTGCTCAAGAAAATAAGGATGGGTTAAAATGGGCAAAACAACCCACTTTCCACTAAGTTTATCCTTGGGAAAAAAAGAAAAATTACTTGCTGAAATCTTTCAAGCAGCTAAGTAAAAACACTGCTAAGGACCTGTTCTTGAATACAGCTCCAAGCACATGTTTAATGTAAAGAAATTGATGCCAATACTTGCAAGCATAAAGAGTGTGTTTTAAATCGACAGCGTGTGTTCAAGCTGTGTTTCAGGTCACTTCTGTTTTCTACTCTGGAATCTTTGAACAATCCCCCAAATATGCCTGTATTTTATCTCCTCTACACCATTCTTTTGGCAGTACGAGTGGAGCTGTGCTGGCTTCACATAGTTTTAGCAAATAATTTTGTTATTCAGAGAATCTACTGCTTCAGAGCTGCAAGGAATTTGCTGTCCAACACTTGCAGTCTTATTTTCTAGAATAGACTAATAATTTTCTAGAATATAGAAATAAAATACCCAGTATAAAACTGTTAAGTTCTACAACTAGAGAGGGGTGACAGCTTCAATGGAATCTTATGAGTTTGTAAATAACACGTGCTTAGTGTCAAAAAGTCTGTGTCCTGTACATCACTGCATTAAAAAAAAGTCTTCATTTATTCCACTTTTCTTTCTTCAGATAGCATCACAGAAGAAAATTCCTTTACTTTTCAGTTCCACAGTGGTTGGGTGTTGTATTTAATTCTGCAGTATAAGCTTATCAATATCAAAACAGTAAGTAAGCAGATCCTCAAATTGCTTCCTAAGAATTTTCTGTATACTTTGTCAAACAAGGGAAACTAAATCAGTACATACCAGAGAAACTGGTAACTCAGCCACTGCATCTTCCATGTGTCCAAAATTAAACATTTAGTAATGACACTTCACCGTAAATATATTATTTGACTTGCACCTTTTAAAGGTATTCTCTCAGATTTTGCTACTTTTACCCCATTATGATATCTGTAGCAATCAATGGGAGTTTCTATTCAACAGATTTCTAGAATTTGATGGATGGGAACATTATTGGATATTCAACATTTTTCAGGATGCACTTTTTGTAAACAAGAACACATTTAATTTAAATTATTACTTCTGAGATTACACTACAGTATTAAAAAAATTATGAACAAGTTTCTATGGCAAAACTGCTTTCAAACCATGACCTGTGGCTTACATGTATTACACAGACATCCAAGTCATCACTGCAAAACGTTTAGAAGGCTAAAAGAGTAGGTAGTTGGTCAAAACCTCACGGTCAAAAAGGCCAGGGTAATAAAAACCAAAAATGAAAGACAAAGTAGAGAAAGTTTGGTTATTTAAAAGCTCATATTTCTCAAAGAAAGAAAAGAAAAATAAGCTTCAGGCCATTCGTGAACCACACCTATAATTACTTGAAACAAGCTCAAAAGACATCATTAAAGATGAAGAAACTGAACAGAAAGACAAATGCTGGATTACCTCTGACCTATCTGCAACAGCTCATTTATTGGAAGAGTGGTGAACAGCTTTTCATGTTCCTTTCTACAGCTTCCTAACCTCAGTAGCTGGGAGGCTAGGGACAGATTGGGCTGATGGGGAGTCTTCTCTAAGAAGGGTGAAAACTGTACCTAAATACACTCAGTAACAGAGCTTCTCCTTTCCTTACGGTTTGTATTTCTCTGTTATTCTATATGAACAATTTGCTTGTTGCACTCCTTCAGCTGCTGGGTGTTATTTCCAGACTTATGATATTGCAGCATGGTTCCCTCTCCCTGTCTGGAGCATGCAACATGTAGACATGGTCACCTTCTCCCCTGACACCTGAATCGAGCATACTCTTTACAAGTAATTACTAATGAAATTTCCTGAATGCTACCTTTAACATTATTTTAATTAAAAAGTAAGAAAACAGTTGGAAGGATAACAAGCTAACTATATATATATATATATATATATATAAATAAACACACACACACAAAATGGATTATTTAAACGCCAAAACATCCAAGCCACCACAAACAAAGTTAAAAAGCATTACCTGAAAGTTACCACTTTCTGCTATCAAATCTTCCCTTTGAATCATAAGCTATGGAGTGAAAGAATAACACCCACTGTCATGGCAGTACAGAAACCAAACTACCTTGCTGCCATTGGGATAACACCTTACAGCACTACCTAGTTGGAAGAACTCACTGGGGCAATCAGATCAAAACAGAACCACCAAAAAATTCTCTCTAAAAATCTAAAAATACTGATAACAGTATGCTCTGAATCGGTGTCAAACTTGCGCAGCTGCAAGGTGTGCTTAAGACAACGTACCAAAACAATAGGCTGCAATTGCACTGAATAATAATCTGTCACAGGAATTTTCACAACCCCTTAGTGGATGCAGCAGGCTGTAGCTCCTGAGGGCTCATTCTTTGTCACATCTTTTCTTTAACCAGGAACGATTACAGGATACAAGTTTCAAACCTATCCAGATGCAGATGTCAGCAAACTATGTACCTTGTTATGTACAAGTACAGTTATTTCAATAACACAGTATTCAAATACAATATTTTAATTAAAAACAGATGGCATGAGCTTGATTGAAGAATCAAGTTGCTTGGCAACAGTGTGCAATAGGAGGAAATGCCTGACGCTGATTTCAGTAATAGAAAATATTCCCTTAAAAGAATACTGAAAGGCAACTTCAGAGAAACTCCCAAGTCACTCTGGTATTTACTGGACAATACCTTACATATATTGAATAACAACAGTGACTATGTATCTTAAAGCACAGCTATTTTCCCATGTGAAGGCAGAGAAAACATTTGTTGACCATTCTGTAAAACTGCCTTACATTCAAAAGGCTGAAGATGATTACTTTGAAGGAATGAGCCAATCTATTCTCTTTTAAGAATCTTTGGAAAGATGGAATGAGAAACCTTATCCCGAGGTTGCAGCCAAAAACATGCAGAGGAGGAGGAGCTGCTTCCCAGCCCTCAGCAACTTAGCCCTGCTACAAGTACTGCTGCTCAGTACTAAAGTAACTAAAAAACAATTCCATTCAGCACCTATGAGGAGTAGATTAATTTACAACATAGCAGAGATCAGTCAGTCCAAGGCAAATGATCCCAAGAACAGTGACTTATGGAAATCAAGCTATATACTTTAGTGAAAATTTCCAACATTAATGCAGTAACAGACAAGAAGTTATCCAGAATACGTTTCTTTGATCAATTTAACATGAGAGGTGATGGTCTTTTCATCCTTGTGTGTTCGGAGCCATCCAGAAGTCATCTAATTTGGGTTTTTAATTAAAAAAAATTGCATTTCCACTAATCTAAGAGCATTTTCCATAATACATCAAACAAATACTTTAGTCATTCAGTTATGTCTAAGCCACTCCAGATAGAAGATTTCTCTTAGCCAAGAATCTTTTCTTCCCCAAACTGATTTGTGTTTTGAGCCCATACAATTGCACAGGCTTTGCTTTAAACTGGGAGCTCCTGTTCAACGGCACCTCTTTCTGTCATGTGCCACAAAGACACTCCCACTTTTTTTGCTCCCACAACAAAAAAGTTAAGGACATTAAGTCTATGATGCAATGAGAGGGAAACTCCAGTGCCTTGCAAGCAAACATTCTCTAAGAAATGGATATCATTTTAAGAAAAAAATATATATATACACACACATATACATACGCACAGGAGCCTTATGGCTCATCTGCTAAAATTTAAATACAGAGTTCTAGACAACTGAAGCCAGCAAAGATGATCATCCTGGATGTAAGCACACAATAGAGGAAAAGGTGACAGTGACCTTTGGTGTGTTTTAAGAGTCACAGCAATAGTGGCACCAGCAGACAGCAAACAGAACCATTAGCAGACACTCAGGGTAAGAGCAAAGGTAGGTGGAGTGAAGCAGATTGAAAGAATGCAAGAAGCTAAGTGGAGGAAAACTGACAAAAATCAAATTTTACTTTTGAAAAGCAGTTACTCAAAATGTATTAAATCTGGGGGGAAAAAGTCAGGCAAATATAACAAATTTTCACAGATGTCTCTAGATGTTCAATTCATTGTTCTTTTAAATACCACAAGGTTCTCTAAATTTTTAGGTTTTAATTTCACCCTCACAAACCTCAACCTCTGCAAAGAGATCAAAACTCTGAGAGTCCAAGCACAAAAAGTTTCCAAAGAAAAATATTTTGCTTGCACTCAGTACTCGAAGAACTGAGTACCTCCTCTCTGCTCCAATTTAAGAGTGTGTTGCTTCAGTGTTATACTGAACTTAATATACACAAATTTAAAATGTAAGAACTTGTTTCAAAGACTTTATCAACCTTCTCAGGACAGTGCTGAAAGGAAATATTAACTTAAAAATAAAAAATCTTTGCAATGATTGAAAGGTTTATAACTTAGTAATGTAGTGTTAATTTGCATAACCTAAGTACTCTGTATATTCAGAAACATTTTGTGAAACATTAGTTACGCCTTTATTACATTATTCTCAGACTGACAATAATTAAAAAAAAACAATTTGTGCAAACGAGCCACCATTAGCAACCTCAAGAATTGCAAACTCTTCCTCTGAGAAGTTTACCTGTTCAGTGCATATTGACCACATCTGGAATTCTGTGCCCAACAACTACTTGGTAATTTTGCTGTGTTTCGTACCAATACAGATGCTTTGTGAATGTTTTCATTCAAGGATTGAACATAAATAATAAAAACATGCAGAAGCTAAGCAAGTGTCATTGAGGATGTCTGCAAAGGAAATAAAGTAACTGTGTTTTCTCATCCAGGGAAATCTGATTTTTTTGTGTCAGACTCTGAAAATGGGAGGGAGGCAAGGCCTTGAGTGACTTCTCTGCAGTTATTTTGCATCCTTAAAGATAGTACACAAAACATTCACTATATCTGCTTTTATATTTCAGCTCTCTTTAGGATTCTAAATACTGTACTTACATTTTTACAGTTCCTGGTGCTCTGCCACATAGCTATTTGCCACATCCATATGTTTGACTTCTTTGGGCATTCCTGTAAAATCAGTAGGGAATTTCTTAGTCAGGCAAAGTCTTTTAATGTAGCTGAATTTTACACATGTAGCTTTGAAGATCTGCCCTATCATGCACTGACGTTAAAAAAAGGAAGCATAGTAGTAGTTGACTGACAGGGAGCTTGAAGGAGGATATTATATAACAAATATATAAATATGTATATATAGATAGATAGATGCACACATATGAAATCATACTTTGTCAATTGTAGAGTAATAGCAGTTTTTTCCCTTGGTAGTCATAACCAAAGAATGCCACTGGGCTGTCATTACCCATCCTTACTTTACCTTGCTGACATTTTTCACATTATTAAATCATGACTTCACATTTCATATGCACGCCACTAACATGCCTACTGTAAGATTCTATCATCATTTGAAGCACATTAGGTTATTTCCTAGGAAAACTCATTTTCCACCCATTCTCTAAGCCATCTGCTTTTAAGCACACAGGATTAAATGAGTCTGCTGTACTTTTAACACTTCCTCATTGCCAATGGCTGTTACTAGAATACTTTGTGAATCAAGGGCCACATTTTAGATGCCTTTGAGTCTGATGTTTTTTCCATTTCCTTTAAAAAGTAGCATGATGCACTTGTAAAAGTATTTACTGTAGCTGCTATTTGAATTATAAACAATGAAATTAATTTGAAGCTAAATACTATCTTATCCTTCACGATGCTATTCCTTGGGAGGTGGAAACAGTGAAGACAAAGGAATTGTCCAAAGTTGGCTTCTCTCTACTAAAGATGCAGAAATGCTCTCGCAAAAGCAGTAAAACAGAGAAGCAGAGACCTCTCCTCACATTTCCTGACTCCAGCAAATAGAGCTGGGCAGCAATACTGGAAGACATCACTGGATTGGGTGGCAACAGAGGAAACCATGGAACTGACAAAAGCACAAAAGGAGAAAAAAAAGCCTCATTCTAATAGATTTCATAGCTGAAAACAAGAGCAAAGCACCTGGGCAAGATAACAATGAGCTGAGAAGCTCTTCCTTTCTGCTGGGCCATCGCGCAGCCTGTGCGTGGTTCTGACCCCACTGCCACCAGCCCTGCTTCTACGCTTCTACAGATAAGAAAAGCTAACAAGAATACATGACTGCTAATATCTTGAATAAGGCACATTTTGTTCGATCAATGCTTTTACCAATGGACAATCCAAAGGTTCAGAAAATGCAAAATTTCAACCAGGCAACTATTTTACTTACGAACTCTTTCTTACACCAGCTATCTACCTCACTTTACTCAGAATAGTTAAGACCTTGGGTCAAGGAGACAGTGGCATTAGCACTCAACAGAAAATGTGCTTCTCCACACTAAAATAGCCACTTAAGCAAGAATGTGGAAATGATTTATCTTGCAACGTTTGAAGTTGGATCTTCACCTCAGTTGTGTCATGACTGCACAATCAGTCAGAGGAAAACTGTTATGCTTTCATTCAAAGAAAAGGATATTCAGGTCTTCACTATGAGTATCTAACAAATAATGTTACCTTTTAGGAAATAAGAGAATCATAAATATTAGCTAGTGGAAGCATTCACATTTATAACATCAGAGTTAGAGACCTTCAGTGTTCCAGTGCCCAAATATAAATCTCACTGTTTAATAATGGAAAGGCAATATGATTTCACTGAAAACCATTTCATTTAAATAAAGTTCCATTTGTAATTCTAAATAATCCAGCACTACCTTAATGTAAGATGATCAGAAAAAACAAACTGAAAACTTAAATTGAAGCTTATAATACAGTCTTGTGAAGGAAATCAGACTTTTAAAGCAAGGAAACTGCCAGATAAACTTGATTTGAGACTCAGTCATACAGTTTATACATTCAGCATTCTTTAATGGTTGTACAAACTACAGCATTTTAAAATAACGCACACAATACTGACAGCGCTTATGTATATAACTAACATAGTTGAGATCAGAGCCATTTAAACAATCAAATGGAATTCTGAAGACTTAAGTCCAATAAAACCATAAAATTATGTACCTATAAGAATTCGTATCATTTTTAACCACTATTTATACTTTCCAGTGGCAAAACTACACTTAGAAATCCCCATTCTTAAGAAATCAGTAAAGTTGCTGATGTGAAAAGCAGCTGTCATACAGGCATAAGTTCTACCGGAACTGAGAAACCTGCCAGCTTGTAGGGCACGTGACTCCATCTGTTTGTCCTCTTCTTGTTCCAATAGCATGTCTACATAAAATTCAACCATGGTACGAAGAATCAGAAAGTTCAAGTTTCTCATATTTATAGACATTCTCTCTGCAATAATACCAGAATTTGAAGGAATAAATAAGGAATTAGAGAATTTTAGTCCGTGAATTTTCATAGAGTCATGGAACCACCAAGGTTGGAAAAGACTTCTAAGATCATCCAGACCAACCATCCACGTATCACCAATATTTCCCACTAAACCACATCCCTCAACACAGCATCTAAATGGCTCTTGCACATCTCCAGTGGCAGTGACTCCACCGCCTCCCTGAGCAGCTTTTTCCAGCGCCTGACCACTCTCTCATATAAGAAGTGTCTCCTAACATCCAACCTGAATCTCCCCTGGTGCAACGTGAGGCCAGGAAACAGGCAAGCTGGTAACAACAGATAAGGAGAATGCAGGGGCACTTAGCTTTTTTTCCTTGGTTTTGTCTGATAACTGCTTGCCAGACAGCCCTCAAATGTATGGTTTCACAGAGGGGGGATCGAGAAAGCAACATCCCTCCCAAGCAAAGCAAGTAAGCAAAGATAATTTTTGTGACCACCTTGGGATCCTGAACATCTGCAAGTCTATGGGTCCTGATGAGATGCATCCCAGAATCCTGAGGGATTGCCAAGCCACTTTCAATAATATCTGAAAAGTCATCAGCAATCAGGTGAAGTCCCGGTGACTGGAAAAAAGACAACATCACACCCATTTTTAAGAAGGATAAAAAAAGGTGATCCCTGGAACTACTGTCCTATCAGTCTCACCTCTGTGCCAGGAAAGATCATGGAACAGATCCTCCGGAAGCTGTGCTAAGGCATATGGAAGATAGGGAGGTGATACGGGAGAACGAGCATGGCTCCACCAGGGGGCAAATCCTGTCTGACCAACCTAGTGGCCTTTCATGATGGGGCCACTGCATCAATGGACAAGGGAAGAGTTACTGAAGTCATCTACCTAGACTTCAGTAAGGCCTTTGACACAGTACCTCACAACATCCTTCTCTCCAAATTGGAAAGATATGGATTTGATGGGTGGACTGTTCAGTTGGATGAAGAACTGGCTGCAGGACTGAGTCCAGAGAGTGGTATCAAAGGTTCCATGTCTGGATGGAGATCAGTGACAAGTGCTGTCCCACAGGGGTCAGAGCTGGGACCGATACTCTTTATATCTTCATCATTGACAGTGGGGTCTAGCACACCCCTCAGCAAGTTTGCTGATGCCACTAAGCTGTGCGGGTTTGGTCAACACACAAGAGGGATGGGATGCCATTCAGAAGGACCTAGACAGGCTTGAGCAGCAGGCCCAGGTGAACTTCATGAGGTTCAACAAATCCAAATGCAAGATATCTTGCATCCAGGTAGAGGCAATCCTCACTTCCAATATGAGCTGGAGGATGAAAGGATTGAGTGCCGCCCTATTGAAAAAGACCTGGGGGTACTGGTGGACGGAAAGTTGGAAATGAGCCAGCAATGTGCCCTCACAGCCCAGAAAGCCAACTGCATCCTGGGCTGCATCAAAAAATGCATGACCAGCAGGTTGAGGGAGGTGATCCTGCCCCTCTCCTCCATGTTAGTGAGGCCTCACCTGGAGTATTGCATCCAGTTGTAGGCTCCTTGGTACAGGAGAGACATGAACCTGTTGGAGCGTGTCCAGACAAGGGCCACAAAAATGAAGCAGGAAATGGAACACCACTCCTATGAAGACAGGCTGAGAGAGCTGGGGCTGTTCAACCTGGAGAAGAAAAAGCTCTGAAATGACCTGATAGCAGCCTTTCAATAACTAACAGGAAGCTACAGAAAAGAGGAGGACAACTCCTTAGCAGGGTCTGTACTGAAAGAACAAGCAGAAATGGCTTCAAACTCAAAGACAGTAGATTTCACTTGGATATAAGGAAAAAGCATATAACAGTGAGGATGGTGAGGCACTGGAACGGGCTGCCTAGAAATGTGCTGGATGCCCCATCTCTAGAGACTTTCAAGGCAAGGCTGGATCAAGCCCTGGGCAACTTGATCTAGCTGCACATGTCCCTGTTCATTGCAGGGGAGTTAGAATAGATGACCTTTAAAGGTCCCTCCCAGCTCTAAGGATTCTGTGATTCTAATCAGTTAGAAAGAATAGGCAACAGGAGCAGCAAGTTGCATCCTTTTGGGACTTTCATGTAATGTAACCTGTCCTGCTGATACTGCAGCTCATTCAATTAAACAGCATTCAAAAGGAGTAGAAGTCTAATGGATTACTGAATTATAACTGGACAATTTACAGCAATAGCTCATCTATAGGAATACAGAACTTGCCACATCAGATAAACAAGCTACTGCATCTGGTCACACAATTTGCCTGAGGCAGTGCAATTCCTGATGCTTCAGTGGGAGTTCTAAGAAGTCACTGCATTTTGTATTACTTAACTGATAAAATTTACTAAAAATACAAGCATGTAGACTGCCTGTATCTCTCCAAATGTTACCCCCAAGTCTTTCAACATCTTGCTGTCAGTAGCTCCTGACTGCACAGCTGATCACTCGGTCTGATATTTTCATTAACTGTATCTGACAGTCCGATTCCTTCTGTGCACACAGGCAGATGCGTATAAATATATATAGTCTTACTGAGAAAGCCTTAATCACTTCTAAGAAGAATGTTAATAAAAAATACTTGATCTTAACTAGGCAAAATTTTTCTTTTCTTCGAAAAAACACAGGTGCTTCCTAAGATAATTCTGTTTCAATAGAAAAGTATTGTTGGTACAGAAAAGAAGCAGCGTTACACCATTTCTTATTTTCAAGAAAATCTATCTACACCCATTCACATTACAGATTTCTAAAAAAAATATATTTCGGCTTCTTCGTCTGGTATACTAGAATGTATGCCTCCTGCTTTGCCAAAACCAAGCCACCCACATAAAGGCAAGTTATAACAACACCATCCCATGACAGCAGTAAGTGTCAAAATTAGTGTCACAGTTTCGATCACAGGGAAGATGACAGACTGGCTTTATCAGATCCATTCTTCCCAACCCAATCCCAGATAACTCAGGTATCCTGTCACACCCACTCATGAAGCTATCTGCTGGAACAGACAAGTGGAAGATACAAGACAGGCTATGGCTTTAAAATAATCCACCATCTAAATTCAATAACAGCAATATTAACCCTGGCCTAGCTCAAGCAATGGAAGTGGGAACAAGCTGCTGAGGGACTCCTCAGTGACGGCATCAATTAAAGGAGCTTTTATCAAACCGATGTAGGAGCAGGGACGGCACTCTGATGCTCTTCCTGATCCTCAAAATACATTCAAGATGGAAGGATGTTCCATGCTCCGACTCTACAATGAAGAAAAAATCTCTGAACAGACAAAAGGAAATAGCATATAGGACAAGGAGGAAAAACAGAACACATGATTGGATGTGGAAACTGGTTAGGCAGGGATCTCAGGAACAGAAATAACAGGATTAGGACAGGAAGAGAAGGGACACATATTACACACGTGGGATTATAAAAGTGGGAGCTAAAAAACAAGAGAAGGCAAAGACTGGTAGAACGGGGAGATACGAATGATACAACTGCTGCATTTGTTGAGACATTGAGAACTGCACTAAGAGAAGCAAGATAGGAACAAGGTAGAAAGGCCAACAATCAAGTTTAAGATAACAAGTAAGAGATTGTTTGCGAGAGCTACTGTGTTCTGGAGCACAATAAAAAACAAAATAACTAAGTACACCATTGTTGATATGTCAGCATCTACCTATGAGAACAGCTCACACACATTCTCTCCACTGGTATACAACCAGCTACTTAGCAGCAGTTAGATACTTCACTAGTTCAAATGACAAAGGCTGCTGTCAAACTAGAATATCAATAGAAATTCAACCATGTGGAATTTTGCCTCTCTTCTCAGCTTTCTTAAAAAAATAATAAATAAAAAGAAACAATAAAAAAAACCCACAAATACTGAGACTACAAATTGAGGTCATCGTTTCTTTTAAATAGCTGTTGAATATTGTTGTTAATTATCTGACAAATCCCCAAAATTCAGTGCCTACAGTCTGACACACCTGATAAAAGGGATAGCTCTACTTTACATGTTATTAGAACAAAACGTCTGGTAAAAATGAATTATCACAGTGTCCAGCTATAATTCAGCTGAGCTTCTCAAACAGGATAGTATGTTCTAGCAGCAGGACTCAAGTAGACACTAGTCCAGTGCCTACTCTTTAAAAAAAAAATAACATCAATTCACTACAACATCTCTGAGAACGAGGGATTTTCACAGAAATTTCCACAGCATTAAAATTATACTTACCTGACAAACTAAATACACAAATAATATGCAAAAGGCTTTAAATGTATAAAAACATATCTGTAAGCATAAACCAAAGACTTGCTGTTTATAGTAGCCAGAAAAGCTGAAGCTGAGAACACTGAGTTAGTCCAAACAACACCCGCTGATAAAATCCAAGGACCGTGATGAAATCAAGCCTAAAAAACAAAAGAACAAAAACGAAAGACCAATAGCTAGCATGCCAGAAAAATGCTAACCTCAGGGGCCATTACTTAAAACAAGTCCTTCAGTAGGTGTCGGAAATGTATGAAATTTCCCATTATAATTGATATCTATTACCACATGAAATCCCAGGGTTCACAATAACCTAATTTAGCAACACTGCCCTGATCCCAAGTAACAGCCAGACCAGACCAAACTCTGCAACAGCAGACCAGACCCACAATGTGGGTCTACATTACATCACCATAATACCCAGCTTTGGTTAAGACTTGACATACAAAGGTTTGGAATACAAAACTTAATTTCCTGCTGTTACCTATTCCCTTTATGCATTTTTAATCCCCATCCTTTTTACTCGTGCTTAAAAAAAAAAAAACAGTCTAGCTCAATGAGTCAAGAAAATCTTTTGCAACCACTGAGCCCGTGACCAAAACGACAGCTAACAGTAATGCCTGAAACAGCCTAACAGTTACAACTTATCAATAGACTGATAAGATAGCACTCTACGCCTGCCTTTCTATAGAAGAAAGATTTCACATTGAAGTCCGAAAACAGAAACTAAAGACTAAGAAGGCTTGTCTTGTCATTGAAAACGCTTGCAATTTAAAGCAAACTGAAGTGTCCAAGCTAGAAATCTCAAACATTTAACTGCTCAATACTACAGAGAGAAGTATTCCAGGCAATATCTAGAATTGTCTAGCACTCTCGTTCCCTTAAACAATGCACTTTCAGATACTGTACTGTACTATATCCTATAAACAAATCGTGTACCCTCAGCATAAATCTGACATTTGTTTGACACAGACAATATCACAGAAAATAATCAAACAAAACTGTAGGGAATCACAGAGCTGTTGATGTTGAAAGGGACCTCTTCAGGTCAACTTCTCCAAGCCTCCTGCTCCATCTGGGTCAGTTACAGCAAGTTGCCCAGGGCTGTGTCTAGCTAGACTGGCTTTAAATATCCCCACAGATTTAGACTTCACCACCTCTCCTGGCAACTTATTCTTTATTTGACAGCACTTACAGTAAAAATAAAAGTTCTCTGTTGCACACAATGGAATTTAATGTGTTTCAATACTTGTGTCCATCATCTCTTGTCCTGTCAGTATGCCCTCCTGAGAATAGTATGGCCTCCTCACCTTCATCTCTCCCTGTCAGGCATTAGTACACACTGACAAGATCACTGAGCCTTGTCTTCTCCAGGCTAAACACTTCCAGATTTCTCAGCCTCTCCTAATATAAAATACTCCACCTTGATAGCCCTGGCACTGGACATACTCCAGTAACCGTCTCTTCCTCATGCTTGGAGCCCAGAACTGGACACAGTACACCAGGTGTAGCTTTGCCAGTGCTGGGTAGAGTAGAAGGGCATCTCCCTGACCGTGCTGAAAGCATTCCCAATGGGACCCCGGATACCACTGGCCTTTTGTCCACCAGCACCCTCAGCAAAGCTGCCCTCCAGCCAGCTGGCTTTGGCACATGCTGGTGCCTGGGGTTATTTGTCACCAGATGGATGACTAGGCAATTCAGGTTGCTCTCAAAGTCAGCACAACCCTTTGGTGTATCAGCCACTCCTCCCAGTTTTCTATCATCTGCAAACTTACTGAGGGTGCACTCCGACCCACCCTTCAGGTCATTAAATGAAGTTGTTGAACAGTATTTGAAGCTGCATGGTTCTCACAAAAAATAAAGTCGATCTCTTTCTCATCCTGCCCGATGCTGTGCAGCTTGCTGACTCGTGGAGCAGCTTCTTTACTTGTTGGCCCAGCTCCTCATCAACTGCACACTAAAAGGGTGCTTGATCCTACCTAATTACAGGTCAGGTAGAACAAAGCCTGCAGGCACCCTTTGATCAAGGACAGCTGACAAGTGTGTCAGAAGCTGCTCTTAGCCTCCCTAAGCAGCAGCAGCATCTCAGGGCTCCCCTCTCTGGGCTCCCTCAGCACCTAATGGCGCCCGTGCCCACTGCCCGGACCTGCCTCCCACACAGGCCTCTCTCCAGCACAGGCTGAGGCCAGGCAGGGCACTTTGCAGTCTGTGCTTCTATTAACACAGTGAGGTTAAAAACAAAGCAAAACTGAACAACAATAACAAAAAAGCAGAGTTTAACTGGTTTACCACAGCTTTGGTTACCTGTGGAGAAACCGCACCTGACGCTCGCTCAGAATTTACCTCACACCCCTCAGCACACCTTTTTCCCTGAGGAAAATAAAATTGTTGTTTTAACTTTCCACCTCCCTCAGAATATGACACTAAATTACTAAAATAAAAAGCTCTGATAGCAAATGAAGCTTATTAAGTAAATGTTACGGTTATGTGTTACTTGCAGAGAAGAGTATGTCTTTCAAGTCTTTCTAAGCAACCGTGACTGTAACTATTCCACGTAACTTTTGATCTTGCAGATCAAATTCACCTCTCACTATACACCAGATACGTTCATACAGCACTAGCACATGGCTTTTCCAGAACATTCTAGGCTAATTTTTTGTTTTTACCTCGTTCCTGGCTGCAGACGCCCCAGCTGCTGCCTGCCCTGCCCACGCCGCAGCCCGTTATGGCAGCGCAGCCGGCAGCTCTCCCAGCAGGCAGCAGCGGGTCCTTGACTGAAGGAACCCAACAACCAATTTTTACTCCTTTAGAGAGCTTAAAAAATTTTTACAAAAATCATTTTCTGATGATGGAGAACCAGTTTCGTAGCTATGAGTTCTCCCTTAGAAAAACATCTCCATCCATTATCTTCACTGCTCACTTCAGAGTTTGCTTTGCCACACAGGCCTCTCCTCTACAAGACAGCACAATTCAGACTGACATTGCTGAAACCTTGAGAAAACCCTAAATGAGCAGGTAGTGCTATTATTTAAGAGTGACAGACGATCCTCCGTGGTACAAGAAAATTGCTGAGCACTGCAATTCAGGAAGCGCTTGTGTACACAGGTAGAGCAGTGGGCCCTCCTCAGCAGCAAACAGCCACAGCACCCACTGCTTTCTGCAAAACACTTGGCGTATTTTTATTTCTTTATTTTTACACAAGACACCAAACACTTGAGCGTTCCAATCCTTCAGTGCAGTGCATTATAAGCCCACAGTTACACGCATAATTAAATGGAAAAGGAATCACATGCAGGTTTGTGATTTTTCTATACTTGGAATTACAAGAAGCGAATTACCACTTTGAGTATCTCATTGCTGTGTATCAAAAATCAAACCAGGTTATCGCAGAGGACCTTAAGAAACCTTAAGGTCCTTTGGAAGGCAGATAGCCCCTCTACTTCCCTTTTTTTCCTACCTTCTCACACATCATCTCTGAAAAAATATGTATGTTTAGAGAAAGCACTCCATGTTATTTCTAGATTTTGCAAGATGACAACTTACAATACATTTTCTAATCTTTTGATTTTGCTCACTGATGAGAGAAGGGGAATCCTCTGTTTAATTTGTGTCCTTTCTGGCGGAGAAATTAAAAAAAAAAAAAAAGAACAGCTCTTTGAGAAGCTTGTGCCAGCTCCATTGTCAAGACAAAGGTCACTGCATTCCTATTCATGATGACCTACAACTGTACCCATTTAAAGACTTCATTATGCTACATTGGAAGGAACTCTTTCTCAGGGGTTTTCGTTTAGCTCCATTGTGAGAAGAACAAAACATGCAAGCATCATCAGAATATGGTGTTTAAAATAGTGAAACTGATGATTTTAGTTACCAACTGTCTTACTTCATTTAACATCCACTTGGTATCTGTGAAGCATCATTTCCAGAAACATGTAAAATATGAAACTACTTTTACTCTAGACTGCATTTCCAGACTACAAAATAAATAAAAAACTAATCAAATTCACCATATCTACACAAAATGGGTTACAATCTCTCAAACAATAAGAGGTTCCAACATCTCCAGAGGTAGGACTCACCTTAGACTAACACTGAAGTTGACTATAATACAAGTAAGTTTGGAAAGAAGTTTCAATTATGAATGCTCCGGAAATCCACATTTAAATTACGTACATTTTTCAAATGGATTTCACTCTACACTAAAATCACCAAGCATACATCCATCTAGCTACAGGGCTGGAATAGAGCAGGTACACAAACTGTTTTATGATGTTATTTGACCAAACTTTCTAAGGCTTACACATCTCTTTAACTACACAGCTTAAGTAGTTATTATTAACACACCTCCACTAATAATTTTTTTAATAACGCTCTGGACTGAAGCTGGCCAGACACGAAATAATGGCAGAGTTTTGGCAGAGATTTCAGCTTTTCATTTTCAGGAAATGGGTCTGTACTTTGAAGTGGCAGGTCTTCACAAACAAAAAGTAAAAATAAAAAAAATATTTTAAAAATTGTTTTAAGAAACAGAGCTTGTTGCGCTGTGTCACACTTGCAAATCATCACTGACCACAGAAAAGCTGCAAGAGGAAGGCCACATTCTCCCTACCAAGATTACATGATTGCCTGCCCCTTAAGATGCAATACCAGGAGCACTTATAAGTAAATGCATCATCCTGCATAACTTGACCAAATTCCAGGTAGACATTTACCTAAAGCAAAATAAATGACCTCTGCAATTGCATTAGCTATTCCTTACCAATCTCATTTTCCAACATTATCAAGCACTTCTTAAGTTAATCCACTTTTCATTGTAGAGATACATTTCATTTAACAGATAAGATCCACAGGCATAATTTATGCACTCTACTTTAGAGCACCTCAGGCAGAACACGCAAGGTGTTTTATCACACATCTACGTATCTTCCTGTTAGGAGAAAGCAAATTAAAATGATTCAAAACCTTGTCACTCAAATTGCATATGCATTTCTTTGTAAATTCTAGTCTTCTGAACAGGTTTCAGTCTGATTTTATTCCCACTCATATCAGAACACAACCGCCCACCGCTGAGACTTTCCCCTCCCTCCCCCCCCAAAAGAAAAAATATTCACAATCTTTGAGCAGCCTGAACTGTCCTTACTATGGCCAATACAATTTCTGGCCGAATGCCAGCACCCACTTGCATCATGATTCAATCAGGACTCTAACCTCCCCTCCAACAGGAAGAGAGCACAAGTACAGAGAGAAGTATGCACAGTAAAAAGAAATTATGAGATTAAATATAATCTGCTTTTTAGCCTTCAAAGAACGTCAAAATGACATTTTGCAAGAAGCACAAAGTTCCATGTGAACAGCAATGCTATATAATTGTCAATGATAATAACCTACCTTGAGCAGGTTTTAACCTACCTTTACCAGGTGTTTAGCATCAAAAGCAGCACAAAGAGAGTATCTGACACAGGCTACAGTTCCTGCATAACAATCATTGCATGCTGTTTATAGAATGTTTTTATATTCGTAGCGCTATAGAGACAGTTTAGAACAAATTTTAAGGTAAGATGAAGTATATTACAATAATCAAATAAACACACTAATAAATTAGTTCTTCTTTCTTCATTCTTCAGCTTGGCCAGGTAATACTTTATCAAATTTAACACCAAGTCTCCAAGCACACAGGCAACTCTATAGCGTACCTTCATGTTTTCAAATCGCAAAATCCGCTACAAATTTAATAAAAACAAAACATACCAAGATGTAAACATTGTAGCATGCTAAATACAAAAAATTACATTAGCAGCAAGATTAAAAAATAAGCATTAGAATTTTATAAATGCTATCACTAAATCTTTCTAATCCTCAATTCACCGCATCTTGTACGTGCATTAAGACAAACTGATTACATGATGACAGTACTTTTCCCAAGCAACGGCACACTGCTGTTTGTATGCACAACAGATTGGATGACAACCCTCAGAGCATGAAGCAGGACTATGCTTCATGAGGCTGCTCTTTACAGAACGTGGATTCCCCAGATGCTAGATTTACAGTGAGCACAGTGGAAGGGAAAGAACAAGCTAGTGATTTAGGCTTCTTAATGTCACCTTAGAGAATTTAATTCCTTCATGACCCTGCCCCACAGCTTTTACTTTATTCTAGACAATCAGCTATTCCATATTTACTAAGCTGATATCTTTTCCTCCGTTTATCTCTACACAGATCGAATTTGGAATAGCAGGGGTCTTACAGAAGGAACTCAACTCCAAACAATGTCAAAGAAATGAAATTCCACTACCTATCCCTTCAGGTCATAGGTGTCAAACTGAAACTGGGCATCAGTAAGTAGTTTTTTAGCATCAGAGGCTACAAAAAGAATGTACTGGCATGAGACTTGTTCTTGGGACGTCTCACTGCATTAGGAAACAATACTAAAATTAATCTGGGTTTTAGCTGCAAGTGAAAATGGGGACAAGAAACGCATGTTTTGAACACCAGAGCATATCTGTACTTCATAGCCATTCATTCAGTAAACAGGGGTACATCCTGCATTTCTAAATGCTACACAAAATAGCACAAATTATTTTCTTAAATGCCTGTATGAAAGAAATTGTACAAAAATCACAATAAAAGGGTCTATATACACATTCCAGAAAGCCAACTCTATCATATGAGAATGTGAAACAGATGCCACAATATAGAGCACTTAGTAGAAAATGCTATTTGAACTAACGTAAAAAACTGTAATCATCTGTTATCTAGAAGGGGTCACCTTCAGAGATACCACCAGTAAACTTCCAAGCATCTGAACGTAAACACATTTCCTTCCAAAGACTCCTAAGGACTCCTAAGTAAATATGATTGGGTTTTCAAAAACAGCAAGTGACTCAATCAGGGACACCCAACCAACCCAGTCTCAAGTCCAATCTCCAAAAATGGATGCCACTAGTTCAAGGATTGATATCTATTGTATATATATATATACACACACACACACACACACACACACACACACACACACACGTATTATTAATTTGATTTTAAAGAAGGATGAAAAGTCCATGGAACAGAAAGGTCTTATTCCTTAATTTTGTTTTGGGAAATATGTGCAGAAGATAGCATACGAAGCATGAGAAGGACTAAGCCTGGAAAATTCCAGACCAAATGGTTAAAGCTGGTAGTCAGAAGGGGCTGAAAAAAGGATCTTCCATTTCAAAGTGACCTGACTTCTTCCACATGTGCAATAAAAAAGTGAGAACGTAGCAACCTAAAGCTTCTCACGTGTATCTTCTGGGGCATAACAAACAATTGTAACAGCCACCTCACCTGCACAATACTGATTTCTAACAGGTGGAGAAAACAGAAGCAGAGGTAACATTCAGGGAGATATTTTGACACGTACAATACAAGGCAGGGAAAAAAAAATATACACACAGAACAAACAGAACAGTAACAACACACACTGAATTATTCCAAATTCTCCTTAAGGTTTCCAAGTTGCATCAGATTGGTTTTTTTCCATTAACTCCATAACCGTAGAATGGTGAAGTTTCACAACACCATCATGTATTCACATTCTTTTCCATCCTCTTCTATTCTACCAGTTTATTATTTTAAAATTCCACCCACCATCCGCAAGTCTGCATCCAACTCAGCTCATTCAGGAACTACCACACATATAAGGCAGCTTTTTTACGTTACCTGGGGGCAAGTCAGATGTGAACTTTTAGCATCTCAGGGAATACAGAAACACATTCACAAATTCAGGGTACCAAATCATGCCTGTTCCAAGCAAAAACAGGTTATGTGAGCTACTATTTTAAGATAACACTTTATGGACAATTTTCTATCATGTGTAACAATTCTTTATATTTTCTCTGTTAGTGATAGGAAATAAGTTATCATTTTCCTACCATGATTAAAAAATAAATACATAAGTCAGGAACTATGGTGAAATTCAAGGGTTTTTTCTTTTTTCTTTTCCTTTTTTTTTCTCCTTTCTCCTCTTCCTACTACCACAACCCTTAATAAATCTTCCATCCACACGGTAACACTACTACAACTTAACATGTAGGATCTTTCCAGTACCTAGCACATAAAGCCATACTTGATTTCTTCCTAAACCTAACTGAAAGAAAAATGAATTTTAACTCCTTCCACGTTAAACTGGGAAAACTGTAGCTGTTTCTTTTTTGAATTATATTAACCTGTGGAGAGAACAGACAAAATTGCAGCAATTTTCCCTCTAAGATCTTTCCAATTTTTTCCTAGCAATCTGCTGAATATTAACCATTTAGCATCATCTTATATTTACGTGGGAAGATTTTGATCCTTATTTGCTATAAGACATTACTTGTCACGATTTCAAGGATTTTTCTCTCGTCCATCTCACCGCCGTGATTCAAACTGCAATCTTCTGTTCTTCAGTGCTTCACCACTGCTGAGACTTCCAATACTGCCACTCTTATAATTACATGCAAAGTTGAATTAAAATATGACTTCAGGATACCTGAAAACCATCTTCACAATTAAATAGCATACTTGTAAGTACTCTGCCATTCTACTACCCTTACTTAGGCTTTTCTTAGAAGGTAAGTTAGTTCAGGAAGAAAATAAAACAGGTAG